TTGACAATTAGGAAAAGCCAGTCTGTTTACTCATCATCTGTTTCAGTATAAAGTACATTTGGTTCTATAACTTGAGTATTAAGAAAAAACTGTGAAGATAGCACTTACTGATTTCTATTTAGAACCCCCTTGGTAGAGTTTTGAAGACAAAAGGCTAACCATGTCCTATTGACGAGGTTTTTCTGCATTCTGGGGCTCACTGCTTTGTTGCCTCTTAGCGCTATTGTTTGAGAATTAGTCAGGACTGTGTGAATAATGTTTTGGAAAATTGCTTTCTCGGGCACATTAACACTTCTTTTTGAAAATGCACATTAACCGTCAGTCTGGCTGGAGACTTGGGGAGATCCTGTACGATGTAAAATGGTTTAGAGTGCTTCCAGTTTCAGAGAGTGACTTCTGAAGTCTCCAGGAATGATATTGGATCTTGTGGGAGGAAATCTCTTCCAGTTTTCTAGGTTTCTGTAAATATATGAGTTATATGGTTATAAAACCTTATGTTGGAAAATATGTTTAAGAAACATTAGTGCATTCCAGGCAGGGATCACATAAAAGATGCCAAAACATTTAATGCCCTAGTTAAGTGTCTCACCCAAGCCCCGTTTTCTGGAACTGGATAAACAGAACATCTTTTCTCTTTCTATTCTGAGCTTTCATTCCCCCCCCCCCCCCCCACCATCTAGCCACTTCAACGGAACGATAAACGGAGATTTTATTTCCTGTATCTGCAGACCTATTTACCTGAATGTCTGAGCTCACCCTTGCCTTTCTCAGGCCTACTCTTTCTTGAAATGTGCTTTTACTTTCATCTCCCTGGCTCCATTGCCCTCCTTTTTTTTTTCTTTTAAAAAAAGCCTTCTCTAATCCTGCACTCTGTGTACTTTAATCTGTAACACTGGACTTTGCTTGCCATTCTGCATAGCTGCCTTTAAACTTGTATTATCTTCCAGAGTCGCATTTTCTTTCATTATGCATTTAAATCCCTTTCCACAGTCTGTAGTAGTGAAAAAAATAAAATAAAGAACTGTTATCAAAAGCCATTTCTGCCAATTTAAAAGGTTTAATTGGATGGTTTTATCCCCTTTGATAATTCCATCACCTTTGCAGACTGTGACTTGGATTTACAGTTCTGTTGTGTGTGTGCATGTGTATGTGTATGTACTTGTATTTATTACAGACAGGAAGAACCTTATGCCCCGTGCCCTTTCTAGTCTTTTATTTTTGGAACTTGGAGAACTGATGATTTTAAAACGAGAAAAGGGGTGTATGTGTGTATAAACAAATGGCAGAGACTATATGTGATCTGTATAGCAGAAATTTGCTGACCCCTTATGGATTTAACTTATTTAAAAGCATGTCTCTTTGGGGGACCTCCTTTTCACCCCCTCCACCAAAGTAGAGTGCTTAATTGTGTAGAATAGTGAGTATGTTAGAGCCTGAGCTGGCCAGTTGGGGAGACTTTAAAGGAAAGTTGTAACCTTCTCCTCATGGTTCACCCCCATGCTCTAGCTTTCTGTCTGGAAAACAGTGCAACTGGACTCGATGCTCTCTGTGATTAAAAGCATGTTGGGCTGCATGTGAGTGGCTATGGTGTGTAAATATTCTATGGGAAACACCTGCCAGTGGAACTGGAGGAGGCCTGGTAAATCATTCGTGGTTGATACCATGGCTCTCCTACCCTGGAGAGGGCGTATGGTCCTCCCTGGCCTGGGCCTTTCTGCTGCTGCTGCTGCAGCAGGCAGTGTGCTTCCCATCACTTTACTGAGGTGGGAATAGTACAGATTACAGTTAAGAGAAAAACATCTATTCAGGGCTCAAAGAAATGTGCCAGCTGTGCTGGTCGTGGCCATGAAATGTTTTTAATTCCTCTTAAACCTCTGTAAGCATTTGCTGAGGAATGTTAAATCAACCAGAGAATTTCTGGTGTTATGTTGCCCAGACCAATATTGTATAGCTCTCATGGGTGCCCCTGAGAGATTTTCGCTTTCCACCCCTGGCGTCGTCTGCATCCCTGTGATGCTTTTGGACTGACTTTGACCTGAACCTCTTTGCCCTTGTGCAGTTAAAGCACCAGACTCAACAGCTTCTCTCTTTAGCTTCTCAGCCACTGGATCACCCCACGTGCTCTGTGCCATCTGTTCACACATAAAACTTCTCTCCCTTTGTAATAAAAAGAAGCTGGAAGTTGGGGATCTTTCATTGTATCTTCAAAACAAACCAACAGAACAACATGTTTGGCAGTGATATTATAGTGCAGTGTCAAAATTAAACTGGAAACAGAAGCCCTTCCTCCCCAAACCCCATCTCCAAGTCCCGGTTTATTGCTGACCACTTAGAACCAGAGTGCCAGAACGCAGCTTCTCAGAAGGCTAGAGGTCCTTGTGGTTATGGCATGCTTTGGAGATTCACCCCCACCAGACTTGCAGTTAATGAAAATATTTGTTTTGCTTAATGTAAACAAAGTTTATGGGCAGACTTTGTAATTAGGAAACTCTTAATTCTCTTTTTACTCTTGAACCCCTAGTTTCTCCTGTATCACATTAGAGAATACTAAGTAAGAAAATAAACCCTTTCTCAGTAATGGGTTTTACTTTTTATTTCTTGTATTGTCACAATACATGCAATTTCTTCATCCCCATCCAAGTTTTGCATCCTCCTAATTTTGCGCCCCCATCCAAGTCAAGGGACTTGAAATCCAGTTGCTATGTTTTTGTATAGATCAGAAATACTGCTGTGTGAGTAGCAAAGACGGTGCTCTCCTTGTCAGAATGCCTGCCCCTGCCTGGCTGGGGCATTGACCACCCCTGTCAGTGATTTAGGCAGCACAAGGGCAGCCCCAGGGCAAGGCTGTTCCCTTCAAACCACAAGGAAAACAACTGTCTCCTCTTCAAGGGCCCATCCTGCATCCTGTGTGTGTAGCCCCCTGGGGTTGTGGGTTGCAGCCTTAGTGCTTTCCAAGGCCTTGCCTGTCTCCTAGTGTTTCTTGTTAAACATCCGGGAATGGCCAGGTGCCATTCCTGCAGACGCAGCACCTGTTTGCATTCCTAAAGTGATACCACTGTGATAGGGACTGGTTGTGGCTGCCAAGTACTGGCCCAGAGAAAACAACTGCCCCTTCTGCTTTCACAGGTCTCCTGGATGTAGTGGGCATTCGGCCTCAGTGGGGGTAGGCCTTATGGTGCACTCCCAGCTCTTCCTTAAGATCCATTTCACTGCTAGACAGTTGAAGGAGAGGCAGCTGGGAAACATCATGACCTTCTCAAGACCTCAGGAGGCGGTTTTTACAAGATTTTAAGCTTGACTGTGGTGGTGTAAGACTGACTTCTGGGTCCCGGGGACTGGAGGTAGTGGTATCTCACAGTGCAGACTCATGGAGCAGGGTGGAGGGTTGCAGGAGGACCAATGTGGGGACATGGCTATTCGCATGGACTTAGGAGGTAAGGAGCTCCCATAACTCCTGCCTGCTTCCTTCCATCAGGGGGAGATTTGTATTTGTCTTGGGTGTATGCATGAATGTTCTTGTTTTTGAAAACTCCTGGTAATTCTTATTTTTTCTTCTTCAAATATCAGTCATTTTGGTTTTTAGTGATAAATCTTCAATTTCCAAGTTTATTAAAATCCTTTCAAGCATAGCCGGCCCAGGTGAGACGGACATTACTTTGCCAATGTTGCCAACTTCCCCGTCCTGGCATTGTGGCTTTCTGTTCACAGCACGGGTGGTTTTGAGCTGCCTTTGAAAGTCAGGCTTCAGCCTGTTTGCCTCTTTTTAAATGCCACCCCCTCCAGGTCTGGTGGGGTGACTCCCTGCTTCGCCACCCCTGCTAAGAGGAAAAAACAAGCACAGGGATGCAGTTTGAACTGGATGGTTTGGGTTGCATCCCCTCTGAACCTGTGTACAAGGACCTGCTGAAAATGAGTCCCTGCCTGGCTAGAGAGCCCTCAGTTCACATCCAGGCCTTGAGTGCTCAGTCTGGAAGGCTTGGTAAGGGTTGCTCAGACAGCATCTGTCAGACCGATTTGCTTGTAGAATATACTGCCTAAGCTTTCCAGTTCTGCTGTATGTTAAAGCTTGAAGAGGTTTTCAATAATCAGGGTAATGATTTACCTCCTCTGCTTGTGCTTCCTCAGTTGCCTCTCAATGCGGGCCGGGGAGGAGGCGGTGGGTCTGAGGGGAACTGTAGGAGGAGGGCCTGTGATCTGACAACTTGAGGATGGAATTGGCTATATATATTTTTTTTTCCAGTGAGGCTGGTCCTAGCCTACATATTCCCTTTCATGTATACTTTCCTCACTGTAATGGAACCTTTGTATTTTTGCTTTGGATCTGTTTACTCTAGAATGTTTAATTTCATAATAGTAAGCTTGTTTGTGTGAAGTTCATTTAGGGTCTGATTGCCAAGAAGAACCTGCTTAAGAAGTGAGCCATGGTTCTAGTCTCGTGACTAAGGGTTTGGGCTGGTTGAGTTATAGGAAGGCCCACCTTGTGCTGTGGGAAATGTGAAGAGCATCAGATGGGGCTGGGGAGGAATGTTGAAGGAGACTAGAGCCTCCCTTGGTCATTATTATTGGAGAGAAGTGGTGGGAGGCCAGAGAGTTGTGGAATGGATCTTGGTGTTTGAGCTTATTCTACTGGTACCTATAGTGAGGTCAGTAACCCCCTCCTTTACTTTAGGCTAAAACCAAAGCTGCTTATGAGTCATTCATACTTGATCTTGGTCTAATCTCAGATTAGTGGCTTTCTGGACCCATTGTTGTGAATGAAACCAGACCTGTTGTATGGTGTCGAAAGGGTATGAGGCAATTTATTGATGCTTGAGTGGTGAAACCTGAATTTTCCCTCACAGGGTCAAAAGTCATAAGAGCGGTAGAGAAAAAAGTTATTTAAATTCATCACACACATGAGATATGTGGGAATTACATTCTAAGAACGTAGGTCTTAGGAATTAAATTTGCTTCTACCTAGAATGGATGATCTAACCTAATGCTTGTTTTCTCCACTCCAGGCAGTGACTTTGGTCCAGACACTTCCCCCCCATCCCTGCCTCCTGGTGCTGGCGGCGACTTTTCTGTGAGCAGTCTTCCGGTAGCAGATGACACTTACAGGGCGAGCTTGGCCAAAGGCGTCTCCATGTCTCTGCCTTCATCACCTCTGCTGCCTCGACAGTCTCACCCGGTGCAGTCAAGGTCAAACAAAAAATCCCCAGGTAAACAAGCCGCAAACAGCACTCAGACCAGTGGTCTTGGTTATAATGTAGGAATATGTGGATGGAAATTAAGCAAAACTAGGGCTTATAGGAAATCTGAGAGCAGTTTTTTTCTTGCTATAGTAACTTATGAAAGAAGGAAATCTTTTAAAAAATTATGAATAGATTCATTTCTTTAGTTCAAAATATAAAGTATATTGATTACTCAGGCTAGACTTTTACAGAGATTCAAGATCTTGTTATCAGTATTAATATTAACCATTGATTTTGGGGTTTTCTTGCTCATGAATTAGAGAACACTTGAATCCAAACACATTGTGGTGTGTGTAAAGGATTTGGATTTTGTCAAATGTAATCTGATAAGTTATTACTACCAAGTGTTCTATACTGATGTGTTTTCCTTGATTACGTCATCCAGCATTTCAACAGCTATAAAATTTAATTGTGAAAATTCCGCCTTGTAAAGTGTCGGGGGAAAGGTGCTTATGGATTACTTATTTAAAATATTTTTCACTTTCTTCCCTCATGCTCACCAACTTTTTATACTTAACAGTACCAGTAAAAAGCCCAACATTACTTAGCTCGGAGAGATTATGAATCAGATGTGAGGAAGGCATTTCCAAAATGCTGACACCGGGAGTCACAGAAGTTCTTTGATCTTTGAGGTTGGCTGACTCTTTGTTTACTGTGGGTAGGACAGTTTGGGGCCTTATTACAGGCCAGTGCAGGTTCCTCTCCAGTACAAGTAAACATGCTTGGAATTAGTCTAAAACTTCTCATCTCTTGAATCACAGTTTCCACACTGCCTTTCTTGCTGGCTGCCCCGTGGGAATAACTCCCTTTCTAGAAATTGTGCACAGCATTTTACTTTTATTAGCTACATCATTTGTCCTTTTTTTCTTGAATAGTGCATTTGTTTGCTTCCTAGGTCTAATAGTTTAGGATACGCGCTGTGTCTTCTCTAAGTGTACCTCATTTCTATAAAACAGGTAGAGAAACAGGACAATAAAGCTAGTATCTATTTTTCTGGTTTCCTAAATATTTGTGTTTCTTATTGTCATATGCATTATTTCTGAATCATTTAGTGGATGTTTGCAGTTTGTGGGGAAGTAAAATTAGGAGGGCAACTCTTCAGGCTTTGAATGTTAGAAATGGTGCTCTGAATTGGTGAGTGTCCAAAGTATTTTATTGTTCTAGAGATTTCTTATTTTGGACAACATTGTTTACAATTCACTCATTAGCTGGAACTTGGAAACCTTTTTGGTATGAAGTAATTTCCTTTGCCAAGGAATTTGACCTGTTTATCAGTATTTAGGGAAATTCCTGGAATGTCTATTCTTCCTTCTCTTTGCCCTCCCCCTACCAGTATATCTCTTGTTAGATTTCTTCTCATCTCTGGAATCACAGTTTCCACACTGCCTTTTTTGCTGGCTGCCCCGTTGGAATGACTCCCTTTCTAGAAATTGTGCACAACAGCATTTTACTTTTTCTTTTATTAACCATATCATTTGTCTTTTTTTCTTGAATAGTGCATTTGTGTGCTTCCTAGGTCTGATAGTTCAGGATAGGTGCTGTGTCTTCTCTAAGTGTAACTCATCTCTATGAAACAGGTAGAGAGAATTCCGAACCCACCTGGACTCATAGGGGACTTCAGTCAAGGGTAATGCCCAGCGCAGGGAATTGACTGTGAGCAGTTTTCTCTTCTGTGGCCTGTCCTCCCACAGGCGACTTGTGCCTGAGTCTTAGCACAAGCATACTCCCGAGAGACTAGGGAATACTGCATTTCAGATATAATTTCATTATTAGGGACAAAGTCAGTGTTAGTTTTAGTAAGACTTTAATAATCTTTTTTAAAAATTGAGTTTAGAGACAAGAGGTTGGGGGCAGGGGAGAGCGAGGGAGAGAGAAACATTGATTTATTGTTCTACCTTATGCATTCATTGGCTGATTCTTACATGTACCCTGACCGGGGAATTGAGCCCACCACCTTGACATTATTGGGATGATGTCCTAACCAGCTGAGCTCTACCTGGCCAGGGCCCTGCTGAGTGTTTTGAGAGGGCAAATATATTAGTTTTCTTTCAGCTTTATTGAGATACAGTTGACACACGTATACACAATTTTATGTATGCATGTGTTGGAAAGTGATTAGAGGAAGGTTAGTTAATATATCCATTACCTCACATAGTTACAATTCATATATTTGTTCACTCAGTGGCATGTTTGTGGGATGTTAGCTCAGCGCTGAGTGGCGTGACAAGCCTGGGAAGTGCGGCTATCCCAGAGAGTCTCAGAGGCTACAGCATCCCTGTGGGGCAGTCCTGGACAGGCCTTGTTCCTGTGTCCTGACCAAATTGCCTGTCTTTGGTTATGAGAATATGCCCTACAGTTTATCTTTCTCGTAGGAACAAAATTTACATTTGCTAAATTCTTTGCAAGTTCTTACGAAGAGAAGGAAGTATCTCTGCAACATTTGACCTTTTACTGGATTGAAGAAAATATTCTCCATGTTAGATGCTTTTGGCCCAAATAGTAATTAAATACACTAAGCATATTCTTCTCCAGAGGAGCAGTGCTTGTGTTGTGCCCAAATTTGTGCTGCAAATTAGTGTCTCACAGTGGTACTTTGGCTTTATTGTCTTCATAATTTTAAAGTTAAGGGCAGAGGAGCTTGCTTAAAAATGGCAGTGACTCAGAATACATCAGACAAACAAACAGCATTTTCTCCACAGAAACACCGATTTCTGTTTAAGCCACATTGTTGGAAAACTATCCAGAGGCCTAATGTTCTACCTGCTTGCGAAAATAGCTGGCATATGGTTGTGAACGTGCACTGGGTTTAAAAATAGACATCTATTTTAAAAAGGTAGTGCTGTTGTTGCTAACGATACAGTAAATATGGTGTGTGCTGTGCTGTGCTGTGCTGTGCTGTGCGTGCAGCACCGGTAGGTATGGAGCCCTCCGCCTCTGCTCTTCCACCACCGTGGGATCTTGTCATTTTTCACACCCAGCTCTGAAATTACCTTGATGATTTTTGTCCCCATTTTTAAGACAAGACCCCCTTCTCTCTCTCTCTTAAGAAGGTGCTTAAAAGAACAAACCTAAGCCTGTTTTACTTGTTTTAATAGAACCTCTTCACTTGACTGATGCTAATAAAGAAACTGTCAAGGACCAACACTGTTATTCTAGGAAAGGTCAAATACTATAAACCTTATAATAGGCACTCACACAGCCTGTATTAATGAAAGTTTGTATACTGATACAATTGGTGATTAGCTCTTTGGCCATGGGAACTCTGAGCCAGAGACAATTTCATTAACCTTGCAATACCCTGCATTTTAGGGTGATTGAGTTTCTTACATTCCACTTATATTGCTAATTTTTTAAATTTACTTTTCTACTACCTTGCTCCATTTGTTTATATGGGTATTTTTTTTTTTTTACTGCTAGTCGAAAGATGCAGATTTCTGAGTATTTCACTTTTTTTTTTCTAAATGGAGAGTACATTTTCTGGTAATGAAAATAAGGACCAGTATCCATTAAAGTAATTCTGTGGCTAGTGCAAGCCTTTTTGGATTAAGAATTCATTAATATTTGTAATGTATCCTTTTGTCTTCCAGAGAAGAGCATAGCCCATTTCCTGTGGCTTATTTATTAGTAATATCATTAGTTACTTTATATTTGGATTACATTTCTGAGGTCCCTTTAGGCCCATTATGAAACAATCAAAAGGTACAGCACCCTTGAGAAGCAGCCTTTTAAAATACTGAGATGGCTAGGATGGCAGATGGTGACTAGTGGGTGATACTGCTTTTCTTGTCCTGTTTGTATGAGCTGACTGGGTCCTGCTGGTGCTTCGCACCTTTGCTGCTTCCACTTCTAGGACTGTGTCCTTTGACATAGCTGATGTAGCAGTTTTAAAAACCACTCTGGCTGGCTGTTTCTTTAAGGGAAAAACCTCAAAGCTGACAGGCTGTAAAGTGGAAGTCATCCTGCCCTTTGATTCTTCCACCGTGAGTTAATGTCTTCCAGGGCCTGCCCTCTCTCACCCCTCAAGACTGTTTCTTGCAGAAAATTGGAAGTCCTCGCATAGAGACAGAACTGCTCTCAGCAGTTTGATGTTTCTAGTGTTTTTTTTTAACTACTCCACCTAAACCTGAGACCACAAGTGCTCTGCCTTTCCCCCCTTAATATCATATCATGAGCAATTTCCAGTTCGCCCGAAGAACTTGATATTTAATGTCCATTTTTTCAGTATTCCATAATGGAGTTTTAACTAATTTCCAGTTTTGAGATATTTGATATTTTTTAGTTTTTTAAAAAAATTGATTTTAGAGAAAGAGGAAATGGGGGGAGAGAGAAGAAACCTTCATTTGTTGTTCCACTTATTTATTATGCATTCATTGGTTGATTCTTGTATGTGCCCTGATTGGAGAGCGAACCTGCAATCTTGGGATATCAGGACGATGCTCCAAACAACTGAGCTACTTGTCCAGGGCATTAGGTTTTTTGTTTGTTCGTTTGTTTGTGTTTGTAGCATAAACCAAGATGTTTTATTTTGAGTTTGTTTTGCTATTAAATGCCTGTGCATTTTTCAGTTTTAATTGTGGTAAAATGCACCTAAAATTTACCATCTTAACCCTTTTTCATGCACAGTTCAGTAGTGTTAAGTACACTTACATTGTTGTGTGACCAGTCTCCAGAACTCCAATGTGAATATTTTTGTCCAGTAATTTTTAATACACAGCTGGTATCTTAACAGTGGCAGGTTCCCAGAAGTGGAATTATTGAACTAAGTGGACTGCATTTTTAAGGATTCTAGAAACATACTGTCCAGTCATTTTGCAGAAAAGCCGTATGGATTGCACATTCCCTCTAGCATTCTTTGAGAGGCTTCTTGTTGAAGTTAACCTCTTCAGGGAATAGTCTTAAATGGACGGTGCTGGTAGGTGCTTTGTCAAGCCTACTGTGGGCTACTGAGAATTAGGAAGAGGAGGCTG